CTGTTGTGTTATCTTGCCCTACTTGTCACCACATTTCTGTGTATAATTTTGGGGTCCCTTTGGGGTATCCTGCCTTTCCCTGTTCAACCTTTTTGTAATAAACTGTTTATTTGCTGCTAATTTTGTTCAGTTTTCCGTCACCTTTGCTGAACCTGCCCCTGAACAATAAAAGTGGTTTAAACCACCACAGGTTCTCAGCACCTTAGAAAAGATGCTGAAGTCTCTACAGAATCAAAGTTTGTCGGAAGAGAGTAACAACTTACTTTCCTAAGTTTTCAACGTGTCCCAGGCAGGTTGAAAAACAGTAGTTGTAAGCTATGACGATGGAAGGGTAGAGGGACTGGAAGTCCAGCACGAGAACGGCGTTGCTGTAGAAGCGGGACTCGGGCTCCATGATCAAGGGCACGCACTGCGGGGCCTTCATCTGCGCCCGCTGCTGCACGCTTGGCGTCACGGCGATGTAGTTCATCGGCTTGGCCACTCGCAGCATCATGGACTCCACGCGGTACTGCAACACACAGGTCGGGCACAAGCATGGGCATTGCAGAAATGGACAATGAACAGGAGCCCCTATAGCTGTGTAAACACCCACGTACATTTCCTGAATCTGAAGTATGGAAAAAGTAGTTTTCCAAAGTAAAAAGCCATACTCGCTACTTCTAACGTGTATCTTCTACCCTGTTTAGTGACATGTAACTTTTATATAGTGAACCTTTTCACGTGGTTCCTCATCATTTAGCCCTAATCACTGAAAATCAAGTACTTCTAATTATTATCTATGGAAAAAAAGAAACATCCAGCTCAGGTTAAAAAAATAAACATCCAACAGGCTGCAGCAGTATATACCGATGGCCATGCTACTGTCAGTGAAAAAGCATTTGCTAATCTGCATTTTTGTTAGACTTGCAGAATGTTGAAGAACACCAAGTATAATATGCAGTTGATGACTGTTCTCTATAGGAATCTGCACAGCAGTTTTATTTCAACATTTGGGAAAAGAGAGAAATAACATGGGAATTGTATACGTTGATAACTGTGCCTCCAGGCTTTTGACCATAATGAGTAACTACAACGTACTTGGCAGCAAGAAAACCAAGGGAAGAATCTAAGCCAGCCCATTTCAGAAGCCTGCTGCTTTGCACTGGCTATGATGCTTTCTCCCTGATGATGTTGTAAGTAGTACAGAAAGCATAAAATCACAAAAAAAATAAAGAATTTTCACCTTGTTCAAATCATCACAAAATACCATTATGTGGAGGTAGCAACATGAGGAAAAAAACAATACTATTTATTTCTGTATTATTCAATACTTTAGTAAAGTTTTAAAAGCACTAACAGACAGGTATTCACTGTATCTATTCACAATAAAAACCAAAATAGCTGAAAATTACATACACGAGTAGCAAAGGACTGAAAATCCCAAAATATCAAAGGAAAATCCTACATAATCGTAAAATCATTTGCTTTGTAAGCAACCAAATCACTATTCAAAAACTCTCTGCCTGATGCACTACATAATCATTGTACTGAATGGGTTTGGTATAATTCCTTTAACTTTGATGTTATAAATGAATTTGGTGAACCAAGAGCTTTAAATCCCTGACACAAAGAGGTTTGGGTTTGAAGGTGTAGTTTTGCAGCAGCATATGCTGCTGCTGCCCTGCACAGTGCACTAATTTGTTGTTTTGCTCAGATGTGTGATGAGGTGGTCAGGGACTGGATCTGGCCAGAACTAGGGTTTGTTTTGTTTTGTCATTTCCAGCAAGCTCTTCAATCATCTGACCCATAATCTACATGCCTAGAACCACCTCCTGTCAGATTTCTTTAGTCTACTATGGAATATTCAAGATAGCCTAATAAAATAAAATAAAAAAATCATTGTTAAAAAAGGTCTTACAGAACTTAGTAAGAGATACAAAAAGTACGGAAAAAGTAACTTAAACATCTGAAATCTGTTCCTAGTATTATTTCATTTTAACATCTTTTTGAACTAAGAACAAAACGATTATCTTCATAAAAGGTAGTGTTGATTCTTCTGGGTGAAAAAAAAAATTGATGGGACTAGGAATGATTGCAACTACCATTTTTGTGATCTGGAAAGTTTCAATGGAAACAAAACATACGTGCACAGAAGGAAGGAGAAAAGAACAGTCAAGATAGAAAATGCAGCATGTTTCTGTTGCTCACTCCCACTCAGAGCCATTTGAGAAGATGACAGGCAGAACAGTCTTTGCAGGCTGCATTCTGATAAGTTTCAGTGTATCCATGTTGGCCGCACGCCAGCCCCACCCTCTGCGTTTCTCTTCTCCTGCTCCATCAGCACTTTTCTGATAACGTGGTAAAGCAGATCAGGGAGCTAAACTGGCAAACACTTGTTGAAGGTCACTGTGGTCCTGCCACTGGTGCTGCCCCTCCCCTGCCCCTCCTCTCCTCCCCAAAATATAGGGCCAGTACAGCAAGACCAACAAGAACCTGCTCTGGATCAAGAGATGACAAAGGAAACTGCAGTCAAAGGAAAAAAGGTGGCAACATTTTTACACTGGTTTGAATTGTTAAGGAACTGCAGCTTCAGACACTCATTTCTGGCTGGCTTGAGACAGTGATGGGCTGTTTAGGACATTAGTTTTTAAATTGTCTTTTTGTCCACAGGAGATGGCAAAATAATCAATCCTGGTCAGCTCAGCTACATGTCTATTAAAACAGAAAGAAAGATAACAGGGCAGAAGAGTTATGGTGGGAAAGAAGATGACAACAAAGAGCAGACACACGCGAGTGAGAGTAGTTATCTCTAGTATCAGGTGCTGTTCAGGGCTCATGTGAAGCCATGAAAACAATATTGTTAGTCTAGCCACTCAGAACCTGGGCAAGGAAAGCCTTTGGTATCACCCGAGACTGCTGGGGTCTCCAAAGAAGAACAGTGTAAATCTCACTCTGTCCCA